TAACGCAACGTTGTTTTCTACGTCTACAAAACCGCATCAGTAGTGTTCGGAAGTTGTCGAAAAAAATACACATAAATGTTCCAAAGTACCCCCTCCCCTAAAATAGCGGTATAACAAAGATTAGGTGCTAAGTAAGCTCCGGCATACCCGCACACTGAGCAACCCCCAGTGCACGCTCCAAGAGCGTCTTGTTTAATATACAAAACGCAACGCTCTTGTCAATGGGACGTAAGAGGAGAAAAGGGAACCCAATATCTCAAAAGKGCAACTAGGTTTCAGAGGATGGTATCCACGAGTTTGTCATATGACAGTTTGATTATAGTTATTGCACTTACTGCGGTAAGACAATCTCGCACCGGGAACTAAAATTAAATTCGGTCTCAAAGCTGCGATATACGTTTGTGTCCTATATTATAACATATTAATTAGTAATATTATTTTTGTAGCCTGCATTTTTAATTTAGTAAAATTTCCAATGCGTATTCAGTCAAGATCATGGTGTGATTATTATATATGTTTTCTATTTGACTATGTTTCAGTATTCAGGAATGAAATCTTTAGAGAATGAGAAAGAGGAGCAATTTAAGCACCTACAAACTAGAATCGATGTTTTAATGTCCGAACAGGAAAAGGTAAAGTACGGTGCTTTATGGGAGGTTTTAAKACCTACCCTTATAAACCTATGGACTTCAGTTCAAATTGTGCTTCCTTCTTTTCGATCATCGTTTCAGACAACCTCTTCAAAAGATGAGAAGGACGAAGAAATGAGGCAACTTAGGGCAACAATTGAAGAACTTAAAATATTTGAATCAAAGGTTCGTAAATCTTACCTTCACCACATGCCAGAAGGGACAAAATCGAACATCTGTTGTTTCTGTCTTATTCTTTTATTCATCTTGCCATTTTGGCCACTGAAATGTTGTTGCTCTGTATTAGTATCAAGATGCTAGAGCAAGAGTTGCCAAAATGAAGGAGGAATATGACAAGCAAATCTCTACTATCGAGGAGGTAACTATAGCTACGAGTACTGTACCGTTTTCAACGAATATTTGACCAGCAGTCTTTCCGTTGTTCGGCAGGAGCATGAGTCGTCTGTGTCGCTATCGTACAAAAAGGGGTTTGAAGAAGGAAAACTACAGTGGGCGTCAATGAAAAGCAGCATGGAAAGCGAAGTTTTGGCAAAACAGGTAAGAAAGCATTTGCAGTGTATATCTTCGTGTTTGTCTTGATGTTTCTCGGCCATGCACTATCACATCGAACCAATTCCTGGAACATCATCACCAAAGCATGTAGTAAAAAAGTACAATGAAAAGTAAAGATAAAGGTCAATATATTACAATGAAAGTGAAATATATTATATTGAAAGGAAACAGCGCAACTTCGCTCGTTTGGCGCTTCCAGGAAAAGTACTCTTGGGCACGAAGCATGTTAGAACTTGTTGCAGAAGTCAAAATTCARCATGACGGCTTAAAAATCCAACCAATCCGAGAACAGTGGCAATAAATACGGTTTTCAATCGATAATGGTTCGCTCACTCGGTCGCGGATTTCCAGTTTTCAAAAATATAAAATTTGAATCTAAAAACAACAAACTTACTGCAAACATAGTTAAAATTTGTTTTTGATATACAGTATGGAACAGACACCGATTGCTGAAGATTGTAAATATCTGTCTTAAAATCAATAAATTCTAAAGGTACATTAAAAAACAAAATCGGTAGCTACTTTGAGTTTGTTGGTCGAACATTCTGTATTGGAAAAACTACCCGTTGTTTGGGTAGACACTGAAGCATAGCCTGGATCGGTCTATTCTCACTCGATGTGTCACTAATAGAAGAAATCATCGAGAGCCATGATGTCAGTTGTGTTGTTTATGCAGATTCTCAATTATTACTTGACGGTGGAGAAGTTTATGTCAATTCTATTCTTCATGATAAATATGCTCGTATGCAACAATTTAATGCTGAAATAACACACTTCTCTTAAAGACCCTTTTGTAAATATCATTATTGGCGACTCTGTAAAAACGCTTGTGATCTTGGGATAACCAACTCTGTAAATCGGCGTCTTTCGCATTAAAGCGCATTGTTCAAATCAAAAGATACCTTGATAGTCCTAGCACAGAGAAGCCTGTTCACGCATTCATAACATCGAAGTTTGAAAATTCGAAAATCCAAGTTAGTTAACATGCAGTGTCAYAACTTACTCTATATAGACTAACTGACGAAGGGATTGCAAAGCTGCAAATGATCCAAAATTCTGCAGTAAGACTGGCTGGTAAAAAAAAACTATGAAATGTGAGCATATTTCGCCAATAGTCCCCTTCACATTCCAGGCGCCATCTTCGAACGGTGAGCTTGCAATGATAGAGACTTGTGAATAATTGTTCAAGGTGTTAAAAAAGGTCTATATCATTACAAGCTCACCGTTCGTCACGCTTCGATGCAAGGGCACGGCTACCTTTCAAGATGGCGCAGGGAACTGTGAAGGSGACTATTCTCCATCAGCTCCATTGGCTCCATGTCAAGAAACGCATTTTTAAAGATATTACTCCTTACCTATAAGGCTCTCCATGGGTTGGTCCGTCAGTACTTGAGTGCGGTGCTTCATGTCTACAAATTAAGGCGGACGCTAAGATCAGCATCCAAGTTTACAGTTCGAGTACAGAATTCAAGGACTAAGCACTRCAGTGAGCATGCGTTTTCAGTTTACGCACCAAACACTGACATTGCACTGCTAGAATCATTTCATGGTACCTTTTCTTCAATACTGAGTATAAAAGATATAGAAGATATTTTGATTACAAAATACAAAGAAATGTATGGAACGAGGTTTAGTGTTGAGGGTATGACGTCACAGAGTCCTATAAAAATACAATATTTCCCATCCAATTATCAGGAAAAAACTTTAACCAGTGATTATTAGACCTTTAAGGGTTATTCCAGTAAAGTTTCAGCTGAATWAAAATGTGGATGATTTTCGTGCTAGTCCCCCTATGAACAAATCTCATTTTGTATTTATGCTCTTTTTGCAGGTGAAAAAGATCATGAATGACGTGTTTTATATGCTTAAAAGCGAGTTTGACGCGACAAGGACCTATACCAGCACCGACATAATGTCTGTCGTACTGAGAGTTGTCAAGGTAATAACAATCATTTTATATAGGACGCACCCAATATGCCCGAGAACGCGCAAGAAATATTATGTACTTATTGACTGAGTGGGAGGGCCGTACGGGAAAATATTTGTCTCGAGGTGATGCCGTACGGACCGAGCGCAGCGAGGTCCGTACAAATGACCGAGAGCCAAATATTTTCCCGTACGGCCCGACCTAACTCAGTCAATAAGCATTTTATCATATGACCCTCACGAAAAAATCAATAAAAAAATAAAACAGTAATGATGAAAAGGTAAATTATACACCGTGAAAAGATGAAAAAACTTAAGTTTTAAGTTTTAACTTTAAGTTTTTTCATCTTTTCACGGTGTATAATTTACCTTTTCATCATTACTGTTTCATTAGAAACACCGATGCAGCTCACACTAGTTTTTAGCTAGTTATATCTTTTTAAAAAAATTAAAGAAAGAAAGAAATAGTAAATAAAAGCTAAAAAAGAGAAAGCGCGCGGATTCGAGCAGGGCCGGACGGGTTTTTCCGGCCCGCTTACGTCAACCCGTCCGGCCCCCAACACGTGACTTTTTCCAATGGTTTTATTAGAGCGCGCGTGCAGGGCTGTAC